TACATTTTTAAATTTTCAAGAAATATAAATTTTTGTGTTTTCGCTCCAAATATAACAGGACCCCTTTCTCTAATGATTCATTTCTTTGTTTTTCACCTGTTACTATCCATTTTATTTATTTTTTGTTTTTTTCTACTTTACTTTTTCTGAAATATATTTTTTAACGTATTACGTACCGAAGAAATTAATAAAGATTTGAATTTTGTTAAGTTGAAAGATTATAAAGCACTTTTTAATGGAAAGTTTCTAAAGAATCTTTAACACTATCCATGACGGCCTATTTTTATTTTCTCAGTGATTTTTACATGCTGCTAGTGAGAGAACCTGTTGTTAGAATATTTCAATCCCACCACCGGAATATATATATATACAGTATGGAACAAAGAGATCACATGACTGGAGATTGCTTCACAGCCTTGTATAGGTATCTTGGTACCCTTAAGTGTTGGTAGGGCTGTTTTGTTCCATTAAGAGAGCTTCTTTTATTCTGCATTTATTGATGTTTGGTTCTTTGTTTAAAATTACAGTATTTTGTATAGATATACTGTGGTTTTTTTGAGTTGCAATGGTGGTAAACATGAGAAGGTTTTTATATTATGTTCACTGAATCTGGTTTCTCCAATGTAGAATTCTGGACAGTTATTGCACACTATCTTATAAACGATTTTGGTATTGTGTAATTCCATGTAATTTTTATTTAATAATAATTTTAGTTTAGGGCTGGTTTCTTTTGGATGAATTTGAAGTAAACATGAATTTTATGTTTAATGGCAAGTTTTTCCAAGTGTTGATTATTTTTGTACTGATTATCACAAATAAATGGTAAACTGCAGTGTAACATTGTGTTGTTGTTTGGTGTATATGTGTCAATTTTGTGTGGGAGTTGAGTTTTGAGGTTTTTGTTCTGGTGGTTGTGTGGAAATGTTTTGGGAATGGTTAGTGAAAATTAGTTGTTGTGAATGAAGGGATGCTTTATAGGATTGAATTCTTCATATATGTTTCAAAGAAGTTTTTGTTGTTCAAAATGAAGTTGGTTTTTGTTGTCATGAATTTCAAGAGAGAAACAAAAAGTGTATTAGGGATGTGAATTAAAGAATTGGGGTCATTATGGTAGTGGTCAAGTGCAATATTACAAGCTTCTTTGATGGGAACTTTGGTAAAAAGTGACACAACCGCAAAGCTAGCCATTAAGGCTTTAGGGTTTAGTTGGTTTAATGTGTTTATGAAGTTAAAGACATCTTTAAAAAAGGAACCTGTAGAAATTATATAAAGTATGAGGGCCCAGGCTATGTATATACCAAGGTTATAGTTAAACAAGTTTTAAAGTTGTTGTTTGGTTTATTGATGTCTCAGCATGCATGTGTTTTTTCAGTTTCCATATTTTCTTCCAACCTGTACTGTAAAATGTAATCATATTAATTAGTTTGCATTTATGAAGAATTCTGATATATACAAGAAGTTTTACTAAAACACAAAAAATAACAGCACTGTGTTTCTAAAATGTATATATAACAACACCTGTTGGTTCAAATTACCAAGTGTTCTTTATATAAGACAATGTGAAAAACATTCTAAGCATCCTCTTCAAAAAATAAAATGCATATATTTAAAACCCACAAGAGTTTGGTAATAAAGAATGAATTAGCTTTTCATTAAGCCAAGATCCCAGTTGTCAATGGTTTTCACTATAATACAACTAATGTTACCTGATTAGACTCTGGGTTTTCTTGTTACTTACTTCTATTGAGTTTCAAACTTTATAAGGCAAAGCTATAATACTTAAAATGCTAACATTTTCCTTACCTGAAAATTTATTTCAGATAGATACATTACCTCAAATGCACCTGCTCTGGAATATTCTGTGAATGCCACAAGTGTTGAACAAACTTCCATCCTTACACAAGTTTATGGGTATTGCAACAGCCTACAATGTTGTAGCTCTTCACCAAAAGAAGGGCGATACAACCTCTATGTGCAATAAATCCAAAGAGTGCTATCGCATGATCAGAGGCTCATTCTTGACAAGAGACATAAGTATCTATCTGTAATGCATTTTCATGTAATGAACATATTAATTTCAAAAATGTTACTTATCTCTCTGCACCACAATGAAGATGGTGGATGGGCTGATGCATCAATCACAAAGGTGACCTCCTGTCTAAAATAACAATAGAAACGGAAAGCCCAAGGGTGCGACTATCACGAGATTAGGTGTTGCCGAGTAGAGTAGCCTCCAGAAGGAGCCCAAATCCTTCTCAAGGAGGAACTATTCTTTACTCAATTTGTTGTTGTTGATTTATGTATTCATAATTACCATTACAAAGAGATCAGAGTAAAATAAATTGGTTTTAAAGGTTGGGCTATTTAAAAAATGGTTTTCCAGGTTTCAAAGGCTCATTAAAGGGCTAATTTCTAAATAATGTAACTAGTAGACTTAGAGCTCAGATGGCATAATTGAATAGTTTAGCTAGGTTAAACTACTTCACAGATATATAGAAGTTAGCAAAATCCTGTAGTAAAGGTTGTTTGTAAATTTTGTTTTATGGGAAAGTCAGTAAATGACCCACAGACACTCAAAATTTAATATAAATTTGATTTTAGAATAATTTCCTCTTTCAAAATAACATTATTGAGTCATCTCCAACAAAAAAAGGTTTTACTGTTAAAACTTCACAGAAACATACAGCATGTGGATTGTTTCTTTAATTTTAGAGGTATTAACATACAAAAAAGATAGATAAATCTTGTTTTCGATAAATTACCTTTTTTACATTTTAAGTTACTTTTTATCTAATAATATGGAACACCACAAATAATTTTCTGACAGTGAGTTATTAGCCAAGGTTTTTCAAAAATTCTTTTAGAAGTTGTGTGTGGATGTTCACTACTTTTAACCAACTTCAATGCTTATGAATGGACAGACTTGAAGCTTGTCTTTAGACAGCACACTGGGCCTATAATATTATAAAATGTTTTACATAATTTAACTGAAGTAAGTGGCTTGAACCAAGAACAAATTCTCATATTAGTTGTCTATATTTAACTCTCTCAACATGAGCTCATTCAAGTTGACTGACCATGTGACCTCTTTGCACTCGTTCAAAATATTTATTGATTTAATACTACTAACTTTTAATATAGTGTGTACATCTTCACAAAATTTGGCAGACTTTCAGTAAATGTACAAGTCTTTAATATACCAAAAATCATATTTTTAGTGAAGTATTTTTAACAAACTAATAAAAAATTTGTCCTTGAATATATCGAGTATTTGTTTTGAATAGACTGTGTGCAAAGTGATTTTCATGTTAAGATTAAAAATACTTTTCTTCATTTTAAAAATCTCAAATTTCATTTATCTAATCTCTAATTCCTCCTAAATATAGTTCAAATGTTTTTCAGAAAATTTTATATTCTATCTGTTATTTTCTCTACCCTAACTCTATACAAGGTTGGTCAGTTTGACTGGCCTGGTAAATACACCCCCCCAAAAAACAACAACAAACAAACAAACAAAATAAATCTAAATTATCCTCATTTTCTTTCTAGAATGACTTCAAATGTAGCATGAAATTATATTCATTTATCCTAACTAGCTTTAAGCTTGTAACAGTATACATCTATTTATAATTAAATTTTATTGTTTTATTGCCCTATAAGTTGCAAAACACTTGGGAAGTGTGCAGTTCATATTACTCTATCAAATTACTTTACCCACAAGCTAATCTGAGCTGCTCACGTGCATGCCTTATGAAATATTTTTGTTATATTAATATTATTGTTTATTTTACCTAATCTAACCTTAAATAACATAGAGATCCCTCTTTGACACTTTAGTTACTTTTATAATAAATAAGGAATAAACATGAAACACGAGAAATAAAGCATTTACCCGAATATTATTTTTTTGCTGTCAGCTATCGATGACACTTAACCCTACTTTCTTTTATACTAATGGTGGTAGTACATTAAATAGTTTCTATTTAATTAAATA